GGTGGGGTGGGGGCGCGTGGGGGAGACGGCGGCGCGTGGGAGAATAAATAATCAAACTTTGATTAATCCCAACTTCTAAACTTCGTCAATTTGTCTGAGTTTGAAGTTTGAAGTTTGAAATTCCATAAACGAGAAGAGAGAGAGAGATTTGATCTGGCACATCGCATCCGTATTAAGATTCATGGTATCTCGTTATCTTAACGGAACAGTGTGGGTCCCACCTGTCCCCCTCCCTCCATTATTTTCGTCCTACTTTTTTTCTTTTTTTTAATTATATTCTGCTGTTGCTGTATATTCGGTAGTGGCAGTGGGGTCCACTGGGATCGCTTGGGAACTCAGAAGACGTTTTCTTTTTGCTGTTGAAGCCAGAAAGAGAAATTTTTAGAACAAAATACGTTTAAAATTTTTATAGATGTTATTTTTGAAATTTTTATTAAAATTCAGATAACATAGTATTAAAATTTATGAAATGATATTTTTGAAACAAATGATAAAGTCCAAAGTGTATTTTTTTTTTATAATTTACTATGCATATGTATACACACATCAACTTTATATTATATGTTATGAATCAAAATTAGTCTTTGTCACGTGGAGAACATAGGAAGGTTGGAAGGACCAAGACTCCTCTGAAGACCAACCAAGAGGCGGCCGATCTTCATACTTAACCATAAAATGGCCTCATTGGAAAATTCTTACTCGGCTGGAAGTCTTACTCATCCTCAAAATTATACACTCGATAGGCAGACCTTCAAAATGACAAAAGAAATTGTTGGTCGATCAACTTTATTGGAGCCACCACCTATAAATAGAACGTTTCACTCCATTATCAGATATCGTATTCTAACTTTACCTCGATACTAAGGTCGAACTTAAACTGACTTGAGTTTTGAAGTGTTTGCTTTTCTTGCATGAGTCTCCTTAGCCAATTGATACTTAAATTTGTTCCAGTCACCTTCATTAACTAGCTTCCACCTTCACCGAATTTGTTGCATTATATATGTATATGTATATATGCTAAATATGCTAAATACACACACATCAACTTTATGTTTTACGTCCTATAATATATATGTTATATCCTACTTTTAAATATAATAAACCTTTTGAGTTGTACAAGAGCATTGGTGTCTCATCTTAAAACTTCCAAACATGTCATGAGTCTCCTAATTATTTCGTTGTATTTTGGCTGACAACTTTGGTATCTATATTTATCATGCAATTGAATAAATGTATGAGATCATTGTTTAGTTTTTTTATATAGCTAAGTTGAAATCATACGTGGTGGAGGCAAATTGTCGCTTGCCACGTGTCAACACCGTAAAGGTATTTTAATTGAAGGCTGTTTTTTATTATAATAATTTGTGCAAGTTTCTTTTTCGTCAGGATCTACATGCCAAGCTGAGCTAGTCGTTCTTTATCATAAGTCAACCTAAAGGTTCAGAGCCGATCTAAGTGCACGTATCCGGAGAAGCGTTGAATGACGCACTAAGACCGACAACACATCGTGTTTTACGGACGGTCGGATGGCCATTAGCCCCATGTTGGGACTCTTGTCGGATTTCATCCCTATAAACAGGGATGTCTGTCCTCTATGCATGGTACGCGAATCCATTTGCATTCAGAGAGTTAGATTGGACAGAGACTAACTTGTTCGTCAGTGTTAACCTTGTTTTGCAGGTTCTTAGGAGGACAAGGGATATCATACCATACAATCCAACCTACGTATATTTCGAACTTGGTCAATTTTTGGATCAAACAATATGCTTGCAACCATAAACAACAACCAAGCTATAGCTAATTAAGATGAATGTATAAGGTCCAACCTATATATGCATGGTTTTATACTTTGTATACACATGTATCCATGCTCATAGTAATACCACATACATTATGTCGAGATGGGTTAATAATCAAAGTTCTGCAAGTGAAAAACTATATTTATCTGGTAAAGGTGTACACTAATGAGGTTCATACAAGTTTTTTTCCTATTCGAAGAAGTGTTGTTATATATGAATGACGCTTGTATTGAGTTGAAAAGGAGGCCGGTGAAAAGTAGGTAATAATTCGAATTTGAACAAAAATGGATCAAAACAGAGCTTAGAGATTAGGGTTAAATTAAATAAGAAAAAGAGTGCTTTTTTTTTTTTTACTACTTGTAATCTCGCTCTCTAGTGTCCAAAATCATCTTTTTGTGTACGTTAGGACTCTAATAATTTAGCTTTGGGCTTAGTACATGAAGAACCAGAACTTACTACCAAATAATAAGCGCCTTTAAAAGAATATATGGCTATTTGGACTAGGATTAGAATCCATTATGTAATTAAAAAGCTAGCGCGTGGGATTGATAACATCATCCGTTGTTAAAGAAATTGTGACACTTTCATATTCAAAGTTTGTATATATTTTCTAATATCAATCACGGCGTTAGGGGTTAAATTGTCGTATTATGTTTGTTTGAAGTGAGGTTAAGGAAGAGACATGTGTCAAACTGTCTATAGATCAAGTCAACCACCAACCCAGTCGATCTAGTCAGTCCCCTTGACCCAACACCAGGAGATCACCAGGCCTAGAGCACAGGATATGTTGTTCATTCAAAGTCTAATGCCAATGAAAATATTGTTTATATTTATATATCATAGATCTTCTTAGACTCACGTTAACTTCGCATCCCTAATAATACAAAGACCATTTAAACATGCAGTAGTATTGAAGGTTGTTGAAATAGTAGAGACCCTGTAAACAACCAATGTAATTTGACCAAGAAATATTTTTTAAACAAAGACATAATTAATTAGGTGATATTAGGGTGAAAATAAAACTAAAAAGCCCAAAAGACATTTAAAAGAAGACAATATAATTATGGATAGAATACAAGTGTGTGTGTGTGTGGTAGGCAGTAGACATGAGGAAGTGGAGTTATGGGGACCAAAAAGCCATGCCCTTTTACCACCCTTTACCATTCTTCTTCTTTAATCCTTCTAATTCCCACGCGCCATTCCACCACTCGCCCTCAATCTATTTTTCTACTCTCACATTATAATTTTATAATTATAGGTTAACCTATCGTGAATGAGTTTGGGCTTTATAAATTTGCTATATTTGTAAATTGGAATTTGTTGTTGTTATATTTGAAATTAATTATGCTTTTTTTCCATGTATGTAAGTACTCTTTCTCTTTTTATTAAAAATCAATATAAATGTGTTTGTAAAATTTTTTCTTTTTATTATTAAAAATCTATGTTTTACATGGAAAATCTTTTAGCTATGCTGTATTTAATTTTAATATTTATTATACATTTTAAATTTAAAATTATAAAAAAAGATGGTTTTATTTATATTTTTTAGAAAAAAATTGAAATGAAAATAAAAAATAAATAACTCAATTTTGTTGTTTACAAAGTTTATATATAATTACAGTATCCGAATCAAAACACGAAGCAGTTATCAAATACTTGTAGTTCGAAGAAAAAGAAATAATGTACTGAAATATTATCAAGCAATTATTTAATTACTATTCATACGTGTTTAATGACTCAAGAAATAATATTTGGCTTGTCATTTTAATAAGTTTAATTTGGGTGGATTTTAATTTAGGAGATAATGTTTGAGTTCAGATTCCTTTATGCAGGAAAAAACATAGATACAAATCCATTACTTGTTTATCAAACTAAAAAAAAAAAAAAAGTAAAATATCCTGTCTAAGTTGATGGATTTGCTTATATTAAAATAATTTACTTGCTTGGATTTCTTCATCCTAACAAAATAAAGATTGAACTTTAAATTTAAATTATTAAAAAAAAATCTGACCCTGGTTAAATTCAAAATGGAGCATTTGGTAGCTTATAATAATTGTATGGACCTATTAATTCACGTCAGATCAGAAAGCCAATGTTGACAAACTATAGCAATTTAAATAATTTAAGTCTAAATAATATTTTAATCTTATTCTCGACTTTAATTCATTTTGATCTTTGTACTTTTAAAATATTTTATCTCAGTCCCTGTGTGCTTTTGAAAAGAACAATTTTCATCCATTCATTTTCATTTTCATTTTCATCTCATTCATTTCTATCTATTGGATGGTTTCCATTTTATATATAGATTAAAGTAGTCGATTTTTAAAAGTATAAAGACCAAAATAGAGGTTTTGAAATTATAATGACTAAAATGAACACGTTGAAAATAAAATGATCAGAATGAACATTTTGAAAGTACTGCCACGAACGTGAATTAAATTGAAAGTACGAGGACCATAATAATATTTATACCAATAATTTAAATATATTATCAATATGTCATGCATGAACTCTATATTATTTTGACTCATGGGTCTCTGTAGGAGCTATTAGCATGAGATACGAGCGAAAATTAACATTTAACAAATTCAAGTTTAGGATATTTGTATTCATAATCGTATTAAATTATCAGAAAATCCAAGGAAATGAGTCTTAGGATCTCAAAAAATAAATAAAAAATAAAAATAAAAAGTCAGAAACTTGAGTTTAACTAAAATTTGTTTGGTGGGTTTTATGATTTTGTAAATGTCAATTCTTTAGGCTGCGAGATTAGAAAACTCATAATATTAAATTTATTAATTCAAGTTATACAAACCTAACCCGCAAACATCTCTAAAGAAGGTAATTCTTTTCCGGTTTAAACCGCAGCAGGAAATGCTATTCAGGCAGTAGTGGATCGAGAGTATGCAACCTACTATTTTAGTTCATATAATTTTAACTTTATTCATTTTGGTTCCTATACTTTCAAAATATCTATTTTGATCTCTATACTTTTAATTTTTGTTCATTTCAATCCCTATACTTTTGACTTTTGGTCCCTGCTAAATGAATCATTTTGGTGTCTTCATTTTTATTTTTATCTCATATATTTTTTGATCAATATGCATGACACTTCATTCACTAAATATTCTTGAAATGTAACCATAAATTTGTATTAAACTGTTTCCATTGTGTATAAAATTTGTGTTGAAATTTTACTAATAGAGGGATTGGTCACCCTTTAAAAGAACGGGTATCAAAACGGACGTTTTGAAAGTACATGAACTAAAATAAACAAAATTTGAGAGTAGAATGACAAAATAAATCAAAGCTGAAGATCTAGGAACAAGATAGTACTTAAACCTTGTTTTTTATTAACATGAAAATTTACAAAGAAAGTTCAGTACACTAAGGAACCATATGGAATATACTGATCAAAATGCCTTTGTAATATTTATAGTTCAAACAAAAACCTAAGAGTCTACATAATCTCAAGCTATATGTCAAAAGTAATCTCAACACAACATTTACAACTCTAATTTTCTATCATCTGACTCATGGTAAAAATATGAATGTGCAAATCTAAGAACCAACAGAAATCTATCTCATCATTTACAGGTATATGAAAAATGCAAATGAACTAATTTACCTTTGGAAACAGCCTTTCAGTATCTCCGATTCATCTTCATAGCGATAAAACTTTATTTCCCCATCGAGGGGTGGTAGAACACTGTACAACGAGTAAGCGAAAACTTGTCGTCGCCATTTTCTGGATCTCAGAACTGTTGCTGATCTGATATTGATTGCATTAAGCTGTTCTGTTCAAGACCTTCGTCTGTTCAATTAAAGAAGAGGTGAGCTTATGATACATTAATGCTTTATCATCACCGGATTGGCTAGGCAGACATATAAACCAAAGAAAATAACTTGGACACCGAAACACGAAGTACTACTAAATAGTCAAGTACGTACTCAATAACTAGACAACGAGTACATACAATCACAATATCACTCAGATTATCCCCATTTGATAACCATTTTGTTTCTTTTCCAGTATTTTAGTTTCTGTCATGCCCCAAGGGACAGCTCAGTTGGCAAGGCTTTTGGGATCTTTTGGTCATACTGGTTTAGAGATGTCAAGTACGAACCTTCCAGTGAGTTTAATATAAAAAATTCTTATTGTCTCCAGATCTTGGCCTTAAGACGGGTGTGGGTGCCTAGACTCCCGGTTATCATAAAAAGAAAATAATAATTTATTTCTGTTTTTGAAATTTGATCAAGAATGAAAATGTGTTTTTGTAAAAGGGGAAAAACATATCAAAGAAATTGGGAGGAAATCAGAAAGTAGAAAACTAAAAATGAAATGAATATATGGGTCTTAGTTGCCTAGCAACAGTATGAACTCTGCCTAACTTTCACTTCTCTGCCTATATTCATTGCTAAGACAAGAGATGTCTTTCTCATTTATAACCAACAATGAAAAAGGTAACTCATAGGGAAAATATAGTAAAACTAAGCATACTTCATATTATCTATATCACAGAGAAATATACGGTAATTTCAGCTGAAGCAAATAAGATTGAAAAAGAATGAACTTCTAGATCAAGGTATAATAGAGTTTCTAACCCATTTATCTGTCACAGGTTCGGAATCTGGTGAAAGCAGAGATGATGTATTCCTTAAAAGCCTTACATTATCAGACCCTATATCCAACACTTCTGCTTTACGAGCAGCCAGTTCTTCATTCTCCACTTCTCTCAGAACTTCCAGCACGTCATCCATCGAAGGCCGTAGATCCCGTGCCTGTTGAAGGCATCGAAAAGCCAACTCTGCCACTGATGTTATCATGGACCTTACTGCATAGTCCCTCTCAAACCCAAGTTCTGAATCTACTAATTCACCTAAAGCATGATTTTGAATTCTATCGATAGCCATATTCGACAAATTTATATCGTTTCTCTTCCTGTTGATGTCCACTGCTTGCAGCGACGATATAAGCTCAACCAAAACTACTCCAAAGCTATACACATCGCTTTTATCTGTAAGTTGGTAGCACTGATAATATTCAGGATCAACATAGCCTGGTGTCCCCTGAGGAGCAGTTGAAACATGAGTTACATCGACAGGAAATAACCGCGATAGGCCGAAATCAGCCACTTTCACTTTGAAGTTGTGATCTAGGAGAATGTTATTGGTTTTGACGTCGCGATGAATGATATCGTTGCGATGGAGGTAAGCAAGTGCATTAGCAGTCTCGATAGCGATCTTCAGCCGAACGGACCAACTGAGCAAACCTGAATTAGCTCGGTTTCCATGCAGATGATCCGCCACTGTTCCATTAGGAATGTACTCATATACTAGAAGGAGTCCCTGACTATGTCTTGATGTGCATCCGTAAAGCTTAACAAGGTTTGGGTGATGCAGTCGTGATAGAATCTCCACTTCATTCATGAACTGCTCCACGCGTTTGCAGTTGTTTTCATATAGGCGCTTTACTGCAACTATCCGCCCATCCTTGAGTGTTCCTGATTAACAATCAAACAAATATTTTAGGTAAAAAATGCCATGAAGCATTCAATCTAATCTAGAGCTCTTAGGAACAGTTTGTAAATAAACAATACAACTCGGCTTAAATCCCATTTTGGTCCCTAAACTTTCAAAAGGTGTGTTTAACCATTCTAGTTTCTAAACATCCATAATATCTATTTTAGTCATTGCTGTATTATTTTGTCACTTGTTCTCCACTTCCCCTATCGGATGTGGTTTGAATATATGCTCACATTAACACATACTTAGAGCCATATAATCATTATCAATATGTTAAAAGTAAATAAAGGTAAGGACCAAAATGGTTAGTTTTTAAAAATTTCGAGGGTAAAATAGATACTTCGAGAGTTCAGGAACAAAATTGAAAATTTAAGGACTAAAATAGGAATTTCGAAAGTTTAAAGCTTGTTTGGTAACATTTCGTTTCTTGCTTCTGTTTCTTATTTTTTAATAAATAAAACAGAATTGCATGGCTCCCAACACCCATAGATTCAAGAACGGTGAAACAAAATCTTAATTTATGTTGGAAGAAATTTGAAACGGGAACAAGAAACAAGAAACTTGTTTTCGTTTTGGATCCGAAATTTCTGTACAATTTTGAAAATGTTTCGAAAAAATGAGAAACAAAAAATATAAGTAGTTGTCAAATGTTTAGATTTGTTAATCCAAAAATAGAATAATTTTGAAAGTTCTGTAACTAAAATGGATTTAAACCATAACATTTAAGTCCTTACCAGAGTAAACGGTACCATAACCTCCATCTCCAAGCTCCCTTGAACGGTCAAAATTGTTAGTTGCTTCCTCAAGTTCTGCATAAGTAAAGACTTGAGCTCCAAAGTAGGAGCTCCCTTTCTCGGGATTGGATCTTGAATAAGGATAGGAAGGAATACTGTGAGAGAGAAATGTCGAGGGAGTCGGAATGCCTGCACTTGAAGGAGGCGAAGGAAGATCTTTGGTTTTCAACTTCAGGACATGTTTCTTCTTTCGTTGTGTAATAGAGAAGACACAGCATCCTAAGAATAGGCCTAATACAGCTGCCCCTCCTATAGAAAGACCTGGAGACAAAACAAACGAGTACATCACTTTCAATTCTCAGCCCTTCCAAGTGATGTAACGCCAACGTACATTTATCTAACTCATAATTCATACCTACTACGAGGTGTGTTTTCTTAGATTCATTCCCACCTATGGCACAAGATCAAAACTTGTCAGTTGAAACTCATATAAGCATAAATCTAAAGTGAAAATGCAGTGGCAAAAAGTAAACTCTAAAAGAAGGAATGAAGAATTAAAGTTGAAAGCCAGAGAATCTTATGGATATATATAATGATGAACAAGTAGAGGAAACCACAAGACCATGCGTTTTCTCATGTAAAGTGTGTAGGGAAATCAAACCATCTAGAAGTAGCAACATCATATACCATAAAACATTCAAGCTTAAATTACAACTTTAGTTCCTAAACTTTGATGTTGGTGTGCCTTTTTAGTCCATAAGCTTTACAAAGTTTCAATTCAATTCTAGAATAGTGATTCTATTATGTCTCGAAGAAGATGAGGTTGTTGACGTTAAGGATCCACATTGGAAAAGGGACCTTACAATGGTTTATAATAGACATGAACTACTCTTCTCATTGCCAATTGATTTTGAGATGGAATCCCATCAATATTAATAGTCAACAACGAAGAACAAATAAAATATACTAGGACAACTATGATTGATACACATGTATGATATCATTCCCCATATAATAATGAAGTATTGATATACGAAGGCATTAATAACATTTCTCATAAATCTTCATCCCCATATTTGTAATATTATGTTCTTAAAAAAATTTAGACCAAATTAAATACTAAATTTAAATTATAGGTAGGAATTTGGAACTAGAAACATAATTTAACCTTTTTAAGGGAAGTATGTGATTTTAAAGAATATAGTGAAAATACATATATGAGCTTTGAAGAAAAATATAAATATGTTTATTCATAATAGAGAATAAAGGTGTACTTGAAAAAGAGAGAGAACAAATATACTTAGTTCAAAATTTAAATAAAATCGTTGTTTTTGTTTTTAACTCATAAATGAAAAGCATTGTCACTCTAAAAGATAAAAGATAAATTTGAAATTGAAAGCTTGCTACTAAATATATTTTCATACTAACAAACGATGTTTTAATTTTTTTTTCTTTTTAATAAATCTATTAGTACAACAATTGCTATTTCTATGACATCAGATTTATATTTATAAATTTTTTATCAATAATCTAAGTTAATAAAATTAATAATATGTTATAAAATCTAATCCAAAATTATATTTGTTTGAAAATTTTAATTACTCTTTTTTTAATTTAACGAGCTTAAAATATAATAAATAAATTTGTTAATTTTTATACACAACAACTACCTAATGTTTTTAATTAAGGATACAATTTTATTTATTAAATTAAGTTTATGGTTGTTTCTAGTTCTTGTAAAGGTTTTAAAAGACCTTCACAATTAAATAACTTTTGACTAAAAAATATATAAAATTTTGAAATAAGATACTTACAAGTTCTAGAAGGAAAAAATAATAATAAGAAGAAGACGACAAATTCATGAAATAATTTTTTAATGGCAAACTAATACTTTTCCTTTTTTTTTTTTGTTTATTCGTGTTATATTGTTGTTTTATGAAAATATAATTTTATAATATTCATTTGCCAAAGTCTATCTAATTTAAATATTCTTACGTAAGGTTCTATCTAATGGTCCAAATTTTACTTTTATAATTTAATTAAGAAAAAAAGAGATAAAAATTTAAACCCATCGGATCAAGGTTCTATTAAAAGGTATCTTGTAAGTAATTTATTTTTTCAAATAATAATAATAATAATACATAAATGGATAAAAATAAATAAATATATGTATAATAAATAAATAAATAAATAGAGAAAAAATATATATATACATATACATACATACATATATATATATATATATATATTTGAAAGGGACATGTCATCCAACCAAGAGAAAATTCCAACCATTAAAAATTGGTCCACTTTGTACTTGAAATTGAAACTTGAAAGGTTACATTTTTCTTCACCAACCAAATCCATCCTATTTTTACACAATAAAATAAACTATAATATTGATTTATTTTTTCCCTAAAACAAATATTGATTTAATCTTTGTTTGAAGAAAAAAAATATTGATTTAATTTTCCAATTAGCAATTCGCCTAATTTCTCATTTCTTTTAGCCCTAAATTCAGTGTCTTACAACTTACAAGGCAACGATCTTCCTAATCCTAATGATTACCATTAAAATTTTTTGATAGTAATTTTAAGATAAATAGAAAATCTGGCTTCTCTCTTTCTTTTTTATATTACTCTCCCCTATTTATCAAAAATGGTGGTCAACTACATTTTTTTCTTCTTTCAAAAAAAAAAAACTAATTTTTTTTCTTTACCTTAATTTGCTATGGCTAGGTTGATTAGTCAAACTAGAGATTCTTACTTAATTACTCACCAATAGAGAGGTAAGTATCATTTTTGTTCATAATTTTTCACATTATTTCAATCCATTAAATTTTCAAGTTGATTATACTTTTTTTTTTGTTTCAATTTGGTCGTTGGAGTTTCAAAACATCCTTTAGTTCTTAAAATTTACTAGTTTAATCATAAAAATATAATATGTAAAATTATTAAGTGATTAACTATCCATTACGAATTTCAATAGTTTAAGGCTGCTAAGATGAGCGTAGCTGTAATTAACACATTTTTCCTATTTTAATAGATTTTTTTCTAGTTGGAACTTTTAACCCAAATCAGTATGATTATGCTCGTTTAGAAAAAAAGAAAGAAAGAACTAAAACCCCAAATAAGTTATTTGGGATGTAAACTAAAAATGATTCAAATGATTTTGGACTCCAAAAAAATAATTAAGAAAAAAGCCTCCCATTTTCCTTTTTTTCATTTTTGGGCGGAATATTTAATGAGAAGAAGTCGAAGATGAAAAGTCAAGACGTGCAAAATCCGCAGAGAGGGACCAAATCAAAGATACGAAATTAGGGCTACGTACCCGGAGAAGACGCCGGACCTTCGCCGGCCGGCATATTCCGGCAACTTCTTACACCACCATTACCACCGCCACGACAGAAGCAAGTCGTCCGATTCGAACCGAGGTCGTAACCGCAAACACCCTCCGACGCCTCACAAACTCTACATCCGCCGCCGTCCTCCTTCAATCGCACCTCGAACCCCTCTTTAATGGCGTTTAAAATCTCCGTAGAGTTCACAAGAGCGCTCACCGTCGCCACAGAATCCAAATTGACCGGCGTAATCACGCTCGCATTGCAGAGCCCAGGGCCGGCGGCGGTGTCCACTTGAATTATGCCGAAGTTATATTCAGTACAGCTAAATTGTCCGGCGACTTGTTCAATCGGAGAAGAGCAATAGATCAACGTGATGTTCCGATAGCCGGGAATTGAATCGAAGAGATTGTAATCGAGAGTGGTGTTGACGAATTTGTTAGGGCAGAGGCCGTCCATGTAATCGGCTCTGGCGATGGTGAGAATTTGGGAATCGGCGCTGAATTTCAGGATTTGGTATTTGACTTCCATTAAATCTATGGTGGTGTTGCCTCCCTCGCAGGTCAATTTCAGCGCCGGATGGCCGCAGTTGGGCGGGCGGCCGCCGCCCCAGAACGGGAACCCGACGGCGGTGGTTTCGCCGCAGTTGAAGTTATTGCTGCAGGCTGTGTAGAAATCCCCGAAAACGACGACTCGGAGAAGGAGAAGGGGAAAACAAACGAGCCGAAGGAATAAGAAGATTGGGGAATTCATTTTGGTAGAGGATCGAATTGAACAGGGGAGGCAATTCCGGAATTTTATGAAATCAGAATCAGTTTCAGGAAAATGGGTTAGATAAATCAAGGCCACTAGTTCAGTTTTGTGAGTACCAGAAAACTTGACTTCGTAATATTGCATTCATACAGTTGACTAGTAAAAGAATGATAAATATTTGTTTTAGTCTCTGATATTTTATTATTTTCTTGAATTTGAGATTGGTTACTTGGGTGATGATCTTAGCTTGGATAATGTCAAACCATACCTCACTCCTATTGAACTCAAGGTGACATCTTCCGTATTTGATGTGTGTTCTTTAGTGCAGATGCTAAGTTGTAAAGATAAATGGCTGGGGTACTTCAATATCTCACATTTTCTCGCCTTGATATTTGTTTTACTGTCAATAAAGTTTGTCAACGGATACACAAACCTATTAGTACTCTGGATTCGGGCGACGGGGACCTCTCCCCCGTCGTTGTTCACAGCCTGCCTGCTGATGCTCACCCACTGCCACATTGCACGTCGATGTCGATTTCTATACCCCGCCGTTGCCACTGTTCTCGCTGCCGATACATCACTTCTCGATCACCTTTGCTCCTGTTTTTTTCTTGGTGAGTCCAAATATTGTAGTCCAAAATTTGTACCCTTCCATGTATAGTATCATTTTCTGGGTGGTGGTTGGTTTTTAGATCTTTTTGTGCAAATACATGATTGTATACAATTTGATAGTTAGTCAAATTTCCTTTCTACGCTTGGACTAATGCAAATTAAATTTCATATCTTGTTTACATGGAATTGTATGACAGGCACACATTCCCGGGCCAGAGTTCTTGAAATTCTGCAAGAGAGTCAGTGCAGTCCAATTCGAGCTTGGTATCTTCTACATTTTGAGGATTGAAGGCCTTCATTCACTGCATAAGCTTGGTATCTTCTTATTGATTTGTACATCTCTGTTTATTCTTTCAGCAACTCTACTCTCTTTTTGATCCTATTCGTGGAGCCCAAGAAGTTGCAGTACAATCTATCCCCTGATGAAATTGAAGTGCTAGAACAAAATTCTTTAGCATACTTGTTTCAAGTTTTACCACTTCCACTCCTATTTTGTTTGTGACGATAAATCACAATCACCAATTTGGGGTGTCGGACACCTTTAGGTGGCCTAAAGTACTTTTGATGGTTTCAGTTACTTATATACATGTCTTCAAAAGTACATTTTGAGACTTTTTAGGCCTTTGGAGACTTCTTGAACGTTAAAGGCCATTTGGACACTTTTTTGTCGCGCTTTGTTTTTTCAAGTAATTTAGATGTTATTTTCAACTTCGATTCGCGAATCTTTTGCTTTTTGTATAGTGATAAACAATGCAACTTGCATTGCAAGAGATGCCTGCTTCTCACCCGAAAGAACCACTCACTAGCTAGTCGTCCTAATAAGGGCTCTATCTGGAGACATATTAAGAATCATGTCTTTTGAATGCAATGCCTGTCTTCTAAATTAAAAGGGAAATGTGCCTCGTTGGAAAGAAAGATGGAGTGTGACTTGTAGTACTCACGATTGGCTCAAACCACTATGTTATCAATGTTCTGACTCATTCATATGTTCATCCTACTAATGTCGAAATGCGTTTATGTGGAGCAGTTGATTGGACATCTAGGGTTAAAAGCACTGTTTCAGTGCGGGCCCCAAAAATGGTACCAAATCGAGGAAAACTCTGAGTAATAGATATGATCTCAAAATAACAGGGGTCCAACTTTAATTTTCATATAAAAAATTTACCTTTTTTTTTAATTTGAAATGGTAGAGAATGATGAGCAAGAAACAATTACCAAATATGTCTCTCCCCTTTTCTAATGATAACCCTAACAATAAACAAAAGAATAATTATCCAGATTTGTAGTAAATATTTAAAAATATATATATATAAGATAAATATCATAATGCATGAGAGGACCAATGAGACATAACACTTTGGATGCATTCCTTCGCCGGGAGGGCTAAAAACCATCTCAATTGATGAGTCTTTCGGTTAGTAATCTCATACTCTCGACTACTTGAATCACTACGTTATTCATGTTCCGACTCATTCGTTCATCCTATTATGTCAAAATGCGTTTATGCTCAGCAATTGACTAAACATCTAGGGTTAAAGCACGGTTTGATCTCAAATTAACAAGGAATTTAATTTTCATATAAAAAATTTACTTTTTGTTTTAATTTGAAAGTGTTGAGAGTGAGAAGCAAGAAGCAATTATCAAATGCCTCCCTTCTTTTTTTTAATAATAACACGAACAAAAAAACAAAAAACAATTATCAACGGAACAACATTTCTTGTTTCTATTTATTAAAAAAGAGAAAAATAAAAATCTACTCAAAATGAGATTGAACAAATCAGAAATGAGAATAACAAACATACCTGTAAGTTAAGTTGTAAAGCGAATCAAGAATTGAGAATAGCTCAAAGGCATTCAAGCCCCTTGGAAAATAGAGCAACAAAATTTTCAATTTCATCCTTGTTCTTCACAACTCCAATCTCCATCCCACCATCGCCATCTCTACTCTCACTCAGAGCAATAGTTTCCGACGACTCAGCCGACACCAATTCCACCTTTATCGGCCTCCCCCACCCAAAATCAGCACTATAAACTTCAAACCTTGGAGACCCAGCAACCGAAATTGGTTTATAATTTCCTCCAAAATCATCACCATCAACAGTTGCTGTGGCCATCATCGAGCACCAATTTTCCACCCCATTTAGAGCTCCTTCTTCCAAACCCTTAATGCCCTCTGATATCGCCTCACTAGCCACAACCATTCCATTTTCTCCCAAAAGCTCACTCCTTTCAATAAAAATGGCACGACCCGACAAGCAATTGCCAAAGTAATTTGAAGGCATTGGCGGTTTCAGACGAAATCTAGCATCAGCCACGAAAGCAAACACTAATTTGCCCTCTGTTAAGGCCTCAGATTTGGCTGTGCACACACAAATGTAAGCAGTTGCCAGTGCAAATGAAGATATGTGAGAATGATGATCAGAATTTTTGCTGTGTTGGTTGTTCTTATTGTTCAGAACAGATTGCTTCAGATTTTGCAAGTGTTGGCGTGTGAGGTGGAGACTGCATCGGATTAAGCCCTGTGGAGTGTTGGGTAAGTGGAGGTTCAAGCTCCTGTTGTTGGGTCCCTTGTCCTTCAGCCATACATTGGCATAAATTTCTGCGATGCCCCTTGGATCTTCAATCCTGTGTAATGAGATTTGTTTTCAAATTTGACTGCTGTTAGAATAATTTAAAAAAATATTGAAAATATCTGGGCGGGAGAAATTTTATCCTTACCGCTATTAAATATTTGATAATTAAGAGAGAAAAATGCTTAAAACAAACATTTTAAATGAGATGAATGGTCAATTTTTCAACGGTGATAAAGACAAGGTTTGATCCTTACTCTCAAGGAGTCAAATATTATAAAAATTAAAAAAAAATTAAAAGCTGTGGCGTGATAATTAACTATTTTATATATTGTTATTCATTTATTTTTTGGGTTTGAAATTCGGTTAAAACTGAAAAATGTGTCTTTGAGAATAGTGGAAAAGATAGAGGGAATGGGCGAAAAGTACAACGAGAGGGAAGATAAGATAAGTTTAGTAGAAGCATTGCAAGACAGAAATTGAAATAATAATAATAATAAATAAATAAATAAAAATAAAGGAAAAATGAAGGAAAAGAAAACGGAAAATTTGTAACAATCAAACCTTTTTTTTTTTTACATCTATTTTTTGTTTACTCGAAGTCGAGATGTTAACAAAAACACTTATTGTAAAACCAAAACTTTTAATCCTTAATTACCATAGTATTCAAATTTTATATAAAAATTTAAAAAATTCATTCAATTATAACAATCACACAGTTCTAGGATTCCTTGTAACAATCTCTATAATTTAGACATCGTTTTTGCAATTTCTTTTAAAAAAACTACATATAAGAATTTGTAAATTAAAATTCAAAACAAACAAAAAAATCATAATTAAAAATTAAAATATCTATTTGCAGTGTGAACAATAATGTAGCCAAATATTGAAAGGATCATATCATATATCATAGTTTAATCTTTTGAGTTCAATGTAGTTGTGAACCGACCTATTATAGAATGGCATCGGCTCAGTTGTCAGATCATACAACCCTCCCGCAACATGAAGCTTGCAAATACGAGCCCATAACTTGACGAAGGAAGTTGCAGTTCTTCCATCAAGAACAGCATGGTGGTTAGTCATTCCAATGGAAAACCCACTATTAGGGAACAGAGTTACTTGGAGAGCAATCACCGCAGCACGGTCATGAGAAACCGGCAACTGAGGGACAAGAGGATGATATTCCGTAACTCCACGAAACCCATACCCCGAAAGATGGCGAAAGTGGGC